GTGTGTGTGTGTGTGTGTGTGTGTGTGTGTGTGTGTGTCTGTGAAGTTATGTATCCGTGAAGGAGGTGGTCAGTCGGGCTACAGAGAGAGGGTCTACACAGGGCCCGCCCAGCCTAGCTCTCAGGGCAGGCGCGGTTTCAGCACCACGGACAGCGCCGGAGGCTCTCCGGGGTGCTCTTGCTCAGGGATCTCCAGAGCTCGGAAAGGGGGGCTGTGGGATTCTCCCTTGTCTTGGCCCTTCTGCAGCTCCCGTGCTCGATGTCTCGGGAAACTGAGGCCCCAGGGGCACACAAGTCAGGGACAGACTGGGATTCCAACTCCTTACCCTTCAGACCTTTCCTGGGAGGTGAAGACAGCCTTGACCAGTGGCTTGAGTTCTCTGGGAGAGGCCAGGGGAGAGGGGACCTGGGGGGGTTCCAAATGGGGTGCATCTGGATGGTCCTGACCTGCACAGGGGCGCACCATTCCCTTGTAGGTGGTCCGGGCTGGGAGAGCTTGGGTCACTGTTTCAACTCATGTCCATGTGACCTGGCCAGCTGGCTGGGAAACGACATCAGGGACACAATGGGCAGGGGAAGGTGGCTGCAGAACGTAGCCATTGCCCTGGGTCTTCTCCAGCACATCTGCAGGCAGTGACTCCCCCTCCCACCCCTCCCGCAGTGGGTGGCCCTGGGGCACTTTTCAGTCTGGAGTGAGGGTGTGCCAGGGAGGAGCTGGGTTTCCTGATCCCTGTGCCATTCTGAGCACAGTCACCTGTGAGAATCTGGGCAGGCCACATGGTCTGAGCTGAGCAGATAAATTGTAAGATAGGGTTGAACAAGCAGGGTGGTGGCGAGTGTGTCCTGTGGAGCTAGGGGAGACCCTGTCAAATTGAGAGCTTAAGGTATTTCCAAGCTGGGATGCAGCGGACCCTCCACAGCCCCCCGTGTGCCCCTTCTAGGCCCTTCTGATTCAGTGCCGCAAGCTCCCTGAGTCCTCCTGGGCCAGGTGCTGTGGGAGCACCTTACTGGTATTGATTCAGTCCTCATGTTTGCTGTGACGTGAGTGCTGCCGCTCTTCACAGAAGGAGCACAGAGAGGAAAAACCACTTGCCCAACGCCACACAGCTAGTCAGGGCCAAACTGGGGGCCCCGTGTCCGTGCTTTCGACGGCCAGGCGGCCCAACCTCTGGCCCGGGCCAGGAAGACATGGGAGGAAGAAGGCATTCTGGGGATTGTTGGAGATATTGGGGCAGCCGAGGGTGGACTGTGGATCTTCACTCTGTTTCTATGTGTGTGTAAGTTTTTAGAAACTACTCACGGAGCAGTGGGGAGCGGCCTTTCTGGGCCTACTTCTCCACCCTAACCCCTTTTAAATCTGACCTGACTGTGCAGATGCCACGCCCTCTGGTGCCCATAGCCACACACTGTACAGGATTGGAAAGAGAAAGAGGTGCCCGGGGCGCCTGGGTGGCTCAGTCGTTGGGCGTCTGCCTTCGGCTCAGGTCATGGTCCCAGGGTCCTGGGATCGAGCCCCGCATCGGGCTCCCTGCTCCGCGAGAAGCCTGCTTCTCCCTCTCCCGCTCCCCCTGCTTGTGTTCCCTCTCTCGCTGGGTCTCTCTGTCAAAAAAAAAAAAAAGAGGTGCCCCCACCGGCCCCCAGTTTCTCTGCACAAGGCCGCGGTGTCTCCACCTGCTTGAGCACCGGCTCTGTTCCTGTGCAGGCTGGCCCAGCACACACCTGGCACTGACAACCGGACGATTAATGTCTGGTGAACTGGACCCTCCCCGCTGCGCCTCCTTGTGCCCAGGCCACATGGGGCTTCCAGAGGCGAGGGGCGTCTGCAGGGGCCTCGAGGAGGGGAGGCTCTTCACAAGTGGGAATGGGTGGGGAGGGTGTCCCGGGGAAAGGCCTGAAGGCAGGAGCCTGCTGTGTTCCCGGGCCAGGCCCCAGTGGTAGAGGGTATTTGGGGCCATCTGCTGCCAGCCCCTGTGACTGGGCTTGAGTCCCCTCTGGGCCTCCCTGCCTTGGTTTCCCCAAACGTGAGAGGTGGTGGCGTGAGCAAAAGGGGGTGTCTGACTTTCTCTGCCGCCTGGCCCCTCTCCCAGCTTCCCTGGAGTCACCAGCCTTTGCACGCGCTGCCCGCTTGCCCTCACATGCCCTCCTCCCCAGTTCTGACCCTTGGTCTCCCAGCTCACCCCTCTCCTCCCCTGGGCCCTCTTCCCCTCCCCCTCACATGTGTGGGCCCTGCCAGTCGTGTCACAAGCGGCCTTTTCCACTCCACTCAGCATGGCCTGCTTGCCTCTCAGCCCCTGCCGTGGGCACGAGGGCCCGTCGAGGCTGCTGTCCCTTCCTGGGGTCTGGAGTGTTTGTGGACTCGCTGAGGGGCACGCACGGGTCCCGAGCAGAGGCTGGTGGGTTGGTGACTCTCACCCCCGGGCCGCTTTGGACCGGCCCAATCCCTTCTGAGGCTGTCTCTTCACTCGGGAAACCGGGCCTGTGGGTAGCGCTGGTGCCGGCCTTGAGAAGGCCGCGGAGATGCTCCAGCTGCTTCCACGGCGGGAGCTGGTGGAGGACCAAGTTCAAGGGACAGAGAGAGTGGTCCAGCTGCGGAAGCCTTGATGTTCCTTCTGGGCACCCTGTAGTCCGCGCCCGAGTCGGGAAGGGCGCCAGAACCAGAAGTCGAGGAGGGGAGCGGCCACGGGGCCTGCGTGGAGGCCCACAGCCACGGCCAGCACCTCAGCGAGTGCCCAGGGCCTTGGCAGGGCCTTCTGCCCCTCCCCTCCAAAACAGTAAGAAACGAAATGCAGTTAATTCCTGCTCCCTTCCCCTGGACCAGCACTGATCTAGAGGCCAAGAGTCCTCGTCGCCCCAGACAGAGTTTGGGTGAGTGGCTTTGAACCCGTGCCCAAGTCTGTAAGTGCCTCTGAGGTCTGACTTGAGTCCCTCCTGCTGCTGTTGATTTTCAGTTCAATATTCCCCGACTGTCTACCGATGGGAGGCCTGGTGTGAGCGGAAAGAGATGAGTGGGTCCCTTTCCTGCCCCTCGGAGGCATTTAGACAAAGCCAGGACCAGTGGACGCTGACCTGTGTCTGTGTCACATCCCCTGGGACCCTGGGATCCCCAGGGAGACTGGGATGGTGGGGGGGGCCGGCTTGAAGAAACTGATGGGGCTGGAGGCCCCTGTCTCCCACCCCAGATGGCCCGGCAGATCCGCGGCAGATCAGTGTGGTGTGCTTTCTGCAAATCCCTGCATTAGCTCATGGAAATAAATCCTGCATTATCTGGGGTGTGGTGGGGACAGGGGCGGGACCAGGCTTTCCCTGGCTCCAGACCCAGCACGGAGGCTCGTGGGGTGGGTTAAGGACAGGGGACAAATCCATTTCCCCAGGGCCCACCTGGTAGGAGGAAGGAAGCTCCATGGTCCATGGGAAGGAACCAGCTGTGGCTGAGGTCCTCCTCCTCTCTGTAGGGGCTTCCCGACAGAATTTGGAATTTCTGGTCCCTGCTTTAAAAACTTCATGTCTTTGGGCGCCTGGGTGGCTCAGATGGTTAAGCGTCTGCCTTTGGCTCAGGTCATGATCCCAGGGTCCTGGGATCGAGCCCCACATTGGGCTCCCTGCTCCGCGGGAAGCCTGCTTCCCCCTCTCCCTCTGCCACTCCCCCTGCTTGTGCTCTCTCTCTCTCTCTCTGTGTCAAATAAAAAAAAAAATCTTAAAACAAAAACAAAAACGAAACAAAACTTCATGTCTTCAAGCCCCTGGCCTCAACATCATGGGGCCTTCACAGGACCAGGGGTCTGCTTGGGGTTGGGGGGGCACACCCTGCCTCGTTTCCCCCATCAAGAAGCCTATGCCAAATCCAGCCAGCCCAGGCCACCCCATCTCCCTCCTGGACGCTGCCTTCTGCCCCCTTCCTGACCTTCCCACTGCCGGCACCAGCTTCCCAGGATACACAGTTGTCCATCTTTCTGTCTCACTTAAAGCCTCCCAAGGCCCCACAGAGC